CCATGTACAACTAACACATGATTTTAGATTTTATCTTATTTTATTTTTTGTTTTTTTGAGACAGGGTTTTTCTGTGTAGCCTTGGCTATACAGGATTCACTTTGTATACCAGGCTGTCCTCGAACTCACAGAGGTCTGCCTGCCTCTGCCTTCCAGAGTGCTGGGTTTACAAGCACGTGCCACCATGCCCACCTCTAATACATGATAAAAAAAAAAAAAAAACCCAACTCCTTTGAACCCTCTTTCCATAGTAGTATACCAGGAAATAAACTAACAATAGATGAAACCAATCTTATTGATTCCTTGAATACTAATTTGTCCAGTTATTCACAGTGAGGGAGACACACAGGACAAATAAAGATGGCTGCAGTGACAGCCCATTGGTTAAGAGTGTGTGGTGGTCTTCCAGAATTCGGTCCCCAGCACCCACGTAGAAAGTCTCATGACCACATGTAACTTCAACTGTGGGGGCCATTAATGGTACCTGCATACATGTGGCAGACACACATTCAAGTAAGTAAAGATATATCTGTAAGGATTGGTAAAATGTGACTCTCAGTTATTTGTTATTTGTTGATGGCCTGTGTTTGAGTAGTGGGCATAGTTAGGGCTGTTTTGTTATGGTAAATGTTGATCTCATATCAGAACATTGAAATTTCAGATGTATGTCTATAAACATGCTTTTCTTTACCAGTCAAATATTTATTTAACTTAATTTATTTATTCGATTTTTCAAGACAGGGTTTCTCTGTATAGTCCTGGCTGTCCTGGAACTCACTCTGTAGACCAGGCTGGCCCTGAACTCAGAGCTCTGCCTGCCTCTGCCTCCTGAGTGCCACCCGCTTTGTAAAAGTTGAATATTGAATATATGAGTTATCTCTATATTCAAAAGTGCATGTTTGTCAGTTATAGCATTTTGTTTAACATCCTGTAGAATGTGTGATTGATTGTACCCTTTCTTTCAAAAAAGAGCTGTGACCATCTGGAAATATGATAGCAATGCTTTGACAGCTTGATCTTTGACCCCAGCCAATGGGGAAAAGACAAAATCAACACCTGAACTAGAATAGAGACAAAGAGGACTTCCTGTCCCTGTGTCTTCACCCTTCTCAATGCTTCCTTTTGGTCAAGAGTAAATATTTCCTTGTCCAGACACTTCCAAAAAGAAAAAGAAAAAAAAATGTGTTTGATCTTGGCTCAACTAATCAAAGGTGGTGCACACCTTCAGCTTCAGCACTAGGCAGTCAGAGGTCTTAGGGCCAACCTGGTCTACAGAGTGAGTTCTAGAATAAACCAGTTGAAATTAAAAAGAGAAAGCGGTGCTGAGAAAGTCTCAGCACTTGGGAAGCAAGAACAGGTGGATCTTTGAGTTTGAGGCCAGCCTGGTCTTCAGAGCGAGTTCCAGGACAGCCAGGGCTATAAAGAGAGACTCTGCTTCTAAAACCAAATAAATAAATAAATAATGAATAGATAGATAAATAAATAAATAAGGAAATTATAATATGAAATTTCCTGTCCCATTTGTTTGAGACAGGGTTTCTCTGTATAGCCTTGGCTGTCTTAGACTCTCTTTGTAGACCAGGCTGGCCTTGAACTCACAGAGATCCACCTGCCTCGGCCTCCCGAGTGCTGGGGCTATCATGGTGCAACACCACCACTTTAGAAATAATTACATGTATTTCTTGTGTGTGTCCACAAACCACAGTGCACATGTGGCAGTCAGAAGAGAACGTGGGGTCCTCCACTGTCTTCTCACGTGTGTTGGGCCCTGAACTTAGGTCATTGGGCTTAGTGGCCATAGCCCCTGAGCCGTCTCTGGGACATTCCCTCGGGTGACAATGTGTTAGAGATTTTTCTGCACTTTGATCTTCATTCAGTTAAGTGCCTATAACAGTTCACAGAAAAATCAAGGGGTAGGGCCAGCACTACGGCTCAGCAGAGCCTGGCAGCTTGAGTTGATCCCAGAATCCACATGTTGGAAGGAGAGAACTGAGCCTGCTTCCAGGGCACCAGGCGTACACATGGTGCACAAACATAAGTTAAGGCAACACTCACACACACCCATTAAAATAAAAATTTAAAAATTGAAAACTTCATTAGGCGTGGGGGGAGGTGTGCGGTGCCACACACATCTGGAAGTCAGAGGACAGCCTTGTTGGGTGGGTACCTTCCTTCTGTGTTTACGTAGGTCCCAAGGATGTAATTCAGGTTTCCAGGTCTGCATGGCGCTCACACCAACCCACCAAGACGTCTCCTTGGCCTCAGGTTACCATTATTTGTTCTTAAAATAAGAATTCATGAAGGGTTGGATGGAGGACATGGGAGAACATTTGCTTAGATGTTCTACATCCAGCATGCATACATGTGTGTGTGGGTATGTGCATGAGCGCCGGAGCCTCTGGAGCCTCTGGAGTCCCAAGAGAGGGTGTTGGATCTCTTGGAGTTGTAGTGACAGGCCTCCTTTCATGGGTGCTGGGAACGGAACTGAGGTCCTTTGCAAGAGTACCAAGTATTCTTCTTTTTCTTTCTTTCTTTCTTTCTTTCTTTTTTTTTTTTTTTGAGGTACAGTTTTTCTGTGTAGCCTTGCTGTCCTGGACTTGCTTTGTAGACCAGGGATCTTCCTGCCTCTGCCTCCTCAAGTGCTGGGATTACAGGCCTGTGCCACTGCTCGTGGCTTGAGCACTAAGTATTTTTAACTGCTCAGTCACCTTTCTGGTACCCTTGGGCTTACCGTAGACCTCTTGCATCTATCTGTGGGGATGGGTTCCTGCTGCCTTGTGGATTCCAAAGCCCTAGGTCAGTGGCTCTCAACCTTCCTAATGCTGTAACCTTTAATGCAGTTCCTCATTTTGTGGCAACCCCCTAACCATAACATTATTTTATTGCTGCTTCATAACTTTGCTACTGTTATGATTCATAATGTAAATGTCAGACATGTAGGATATCTGATGTGCAAACCCTGAAGGGGTTGGGACCCAGAGGTTGAGATCAGCTGCCCTAGGTGCTCAGGCCTCGTCTGTAAAATAATAATGAGCCTGGAGTGGACCTGCACACCTTTAATCCCAGCACTCAGGAGGCAGAAGCAGCATGATCTCTGTGAGTTCGAGGCCAGCCTGGTCTGCACAGTGAGTTCTGAGACAGCCAAGGCTACATAAAGAGACACAGTCTCTAAAAAATAAAATGTCACAGCATTTGCAGAGAACCTATGGCAAGTCATCTCTAGATTACATAGGAGGTAGAAGGCCTAACGACCCGGGCATTGGGTGTAAACACTGGCATTATTTAGACAGCCGCGGACTTATTACATAGTCCTCAGACTGGGATTCCTTGCATCTAGCCGTGGGTACAGAAAGCCGCTGCAGAGCCGCAAGGGATTATGGAACTCTGCCTGAGAAGTTTGGAAACAGCTGTGAAACTGTGGCTACAGGGAGGAAAGGGGAAAAGGATAGTAGGTGATGAGTAGGTGATGGGGCTCCCTGCGTAGGACTTGGTGGGACTGCTCCAGAAGGGAGCTGGGAGCCTTCGGAGGTTGTGAGCAAAGGGGCCTTTACCTGATGGAAGTGCTCTCAGTCGCCGCCTGGCGGCCGTGAGGAGCAAAGGACGGGAGAAGTGAGGCGGGACTGTGAGGTGGGGAGAGGGGGTTCTGCAGAGACTCTGCTGCAAAGCAGTCTCGTTGTGGCATGAGACTAGGGCGGAGATAGCCGAAAAAGGGACAAGGCCGCCGCGATGTTTGGAGCTGCGGCCTCTGGCAGAATGCAACTGGCGTTGGCTGGAGGACAGCACAAAGGATGAGTTGGGGACAGCGGGCTCTCAGAGGCTGGTGTGCGGGGTGCGGCGGCCACGCAGTCCCGGAAGTGGCCGCCAGATGGCGAGCGCGCTGCGGGAAATACCCAGGTCTCAGCTTCTCACGCTCCAGCTTTGCCCCTCCTCACCTGGGTGTGAGATGCATGCCTCACGGGTAGCAGAGGGCTGGGTCGGACCCCCCAGGTGCCCCGAGGACCCAAAGCCTGGGATGCAAACTCATATCCTTTGTGTACTTCCCATCACTGTTCCCATCGGTAGTATCTGCGTCTCAGGTCTCTGCAAAAGTGTCACCTTCTCCAGGGATGTCCCTGACTGCCCCGGGATGAGAAACCCCATACCTTGACTCCTCTAAAACTCATTTTATTTTACTTATTTTTCTTTGAAACAAGATCGCTCTTTTGCCCAGGCTGCCTTTAAACTCCTGATCTCCCTGCCTCAACCTCTTAGGTGCTGACATGACAGACATGGGAGTTGTGGCCATTACTTGTAATCTTTGCACTCTGGAGACTGAGGAGGACGCACAAGACTATGGCCAGTCTTACTACAACCTGTCTACTCAATAAGACAAGAGTAGCAGCTTGGGTACAGGGGTGTTGCAGAACTCCTGCTTATCATTCATAAAGTTTCCTTCCTTGGAACAGGAAGGAAAAGGCATTATGGGTCATGAGCCAATGAGCATCAACACGTGTTTTCAGGTCTTTCTGAGCCCTCAGTACAAGCTCTGAGGCAGAGACTGCTGCCTACATGCTATTGCAGAAGAGGAAGAGGAAGCCCAAGGTGGCTAATGGTCTTGCATGAGGGTTCACAGCCAGGAAACTGCAGAGCAGGGCATGAAACCCCAAAGTCCCACTGAAGGGTGTGATGTTACTAAGTGGATGAGTTGGGAGGTTGAGGATTCAAAAGACCCCTCAGCTGCTGTTCCCTGACCTGCCTTCCTTGATTCTCATGGTCTCCATGGAGCAGGCTCAGGCCCCCCTGGGTCTCTCAGCAGGCTGGGAGGAGCTGTGGGATTGGACAGGTCAGCTTCCCTTCCCTGCTGGGAGCTCCCAGAACCACCTCTTAAGCTGCTCGGGAGGGGACAGAGGTGAAAAGCAGACCTCTGAGGGGCCAGCTTCACACTCTAGACAGCAGGGTCCGTTACCCAGGACCCTGAGCCCACGCTAAGACAGACAGGGAGACGGCTGCTCAGCCGAGTGATGCTCCTCAGCCAGTTAACCACGCTGCTGGGGCTGCTCAGCGGGGCCTGGCTGCCCACAGGCTCAGGGAGGCCTGGAGCCCCAGCTACCCCGGCTCAGTCCCAGGCTGCTGCCAATCAGAGCTGGAATCTGGGTCCTCTTGTGGCAGCCTCTGCCCTGGGTAGCTGGAAGGCCTTCCTGGACCTGCAGAACAAGCAGGCAGGTGAGCCACAGAGAAGGCAGAAAGTGGCTGATGCTGTGTCTTTGCCCTTGGCGCCTCAGGAAGTGCTCCGGGAGACTTGTAAGGCTCTGCCCTTTGTTCAGGTGAGTCTGTGGTGCTGTCTGTGGCGGTAATGGTGCTGTCTGTGGCAGTGGTGTCTTTGGTGATGGTGTCTTGGATGGTGTTGGTGTCTGTGGTGGTGGTAGCAGCGGTGGTGACGGACATTCTCAGCAGTGTACAGAGATCGGGTTATGTGGCTAGGTAGATTTTTGAGCAAGTCTCAAGTCCTGAATTTCCCATCTAAGCGCCCGTGAACTTCGGGTTTCTTCCTTATCAAATAGGACAAGTTTTTCTGCTTGCGCTTATATGGTTGTGTTCATCTTCATCTCTCAAGTCTATTTTCTTTCCCCTCCATTTGAGACATAAGCTCCTGTAGCCCAGGCTGACCTCTGTATAGCGAAAATGATCTTAAGGCTGGGCTTATGCAGCTCAGGCTGAAACTATGTAGCTAAAAATCTCAAGATCCACTTCTGCCTTCCTCACACGGGCTGGCATGTGCAGCCATACCTGGTTTGAGGAACCTGGGCCTTCATGCCTGTGAGGCAAGCTCTACTACCTGAGCCATGTCTCCAGCTGCTGTGTCCACTTTCCTAGTTAGCAGGAAGAGGCTGTTGACAAATACATGTCCCTTGCTCCCCACCAAGCCTTCATAGCTCTCACCTCACTCTAAACAAAGTCCAGATTCTCAGAGACCACAAGGGGCGACATTCTTTGACCTCCCTGATTCGACCTTCTCCCACCCTCCTCACTTCCCTCCTGACACAGGACACATTTTCTTATGTGTGGTGTTTGTGTGTTTAGACAAGATTTCACTATGCAGCCTGGATTTTACTGTATTGTAGCAGCCTGCCCTCTAGCTCAGGGACCCTTCTGTTGGGGTCATAGGTGTGAGTCATCACAACCATCTTGGAGCCAAGGTGTTTTGTTGATTTATATTTATCATTGTTGTTTCACCCAGAGTCTTTTTTTTTTTCACTTAAAAAGAAAAAGATATATTTGTTTTGAATGTTGTGTCTGCACCTGCAGGTCAGAAGAGGACAGTAGATGGCTGTGAGCCACCATGTGGTTGCTGGGAGTTGAACTCAGGACCTCTGGACGAGCAGACAGAGCTCTTAACTGCTGAGCCATCTCTCCAGCCTCTTAGCCACAATCTTATGTAGCTTAGGGCTGGCTTTAAATGTCTGGTCTTCCTGCTTCTTCCAATGCTGGGGTTATAGGTATCCACCCACAGCCCGGCTTGTGTAATGTTGGAGGTGGACCCCAGGTCCTCAAGTATCTTAGACAAGTACTCTGCCCACTGAGCTACAGCCCATCCAGGTTACCTGTCCCCAAGACCTACAGTGCCAGGCATGCAGTGGACATTCAGTATTTGTTGAATGATTGAATGAATGAATGCATGAATGAATGAATGAATGAATGAATAGTAACACATGCTTCTCATGGGCTATAGAGTAGCCTGACAAGAAAAAATTTCATATCTGCAATCAGTCTTTCAGAAGGGCTTTGGGAATTCTTTTTGCTGTTTGTTTGTTTTTGGTGACAGGATTTCCCTATGTAGACCTGGCTGTCCTGGACTTATTTTGTAGACCAGGCTGGTCTCAAACTCACGCCTCTGCCTCCCTGAGCCCTGGGATTACAGGTGTGCACCACTGCACTTGGCTTGGCTTTGGGAGTTCTTATTCTGTGCTGAGTTCAAATCCTGATTTGTGGTTGGTGTCTGGAGCTTGCCCTCTCTAACCCTTTCCTCACTCCCATGTAGTCACGGACTCATGCAGAGTGCTTCCAGCCATGCTCAGCAGGGCGCCAACCCCAAAGCCCTGGGCTCGGTGTTTGCCCATCAAACCTTGGAATTCAGGAGACCAGGATTGATCTGGTCAAATATATTTCCCCCTTTCAAGATAGGTCTCACCAAATAGTCCAGACTGGCCTGGAACTTGTGATCCTTGCTTCTGAGTCCCTGTGGTTGCACACATCACCACGCCCATTCCACATTTTGCTTCTGCTGCCCACCAGCCAATGGCTGCCCCTGGCAGAATGAAACTCTGGCTCATTGTTGAGCACCTGACCCAGATGGCCCAGGACAACTGCAGGCTGGCATCCCCCCCACCCCCGTAGCTCTGCAGTCTCAGGCAGCTCCAAGCCTCAGTTTCCTCATTTGGAAATAGGGACAGATTACTGGCCTCAGCATCACAGGGAAGACAGAACATCAAGGCTGGGTTTAGCAGGCACCAGCATCAGGCAAGGGAGTATCTCTCTCTTTTTTTTCTTGCAGTTCTGGGAGTGGAACCCAGGGCCTTGGGCATATATAGTAGAGCATTTGGGGTAGGGGCTCAGGCAAAAGGATTAGGAGTTCAAGGCCAGCCTCTCTAAATAGTGAGTTTGAGGCCTGCCTGGGCTGCTTGAAGTGTATCTCAATAACAAACAAACAAGAATTAAAGGTTCCATGTGGTTTCTTTTCCTTTTTAAGTATTTATTATGCTGGGCATGGGGATGCACACCTTTAATCCCAGCATTTGGGAAGCAGAAGCAGATATTTCTCTGGGAGGTCAGGGCCAACCTGGTCTACATAGCAGGGTCTAGCTAGTTAGGGTGATATAGTAAGACCCTGTCTCAAAAAAAAATGTAATTACACTCATTTTTTAATTTTTTTTATTTTTATTAATTACAGTTTATTGACTTTGTATCCCAGCTGTAGCTCTCTTCCCTTTATTTTTTAATTTATATTTATGTACATTGGTGTTTTGCCTGTATGTACGTCTGTGTGAAAGTGTGGGATCCTGGAGTTACAGTTGTGAGCCGGCATGTGAGTGCTGGGATGGAATCTGGGTTCTTTGGAAGAGCAGTTAGTGCTCTTAACCTCTGAACCATCTTGACAGTCCCTAAAATTAAATTTTGTTGTTTTGATTTGTTGTTGTCGTTTTTCAAGACAGGTTTTCTCTGTGTAGCCCTGGCTGTCCTGGAACTCTCTTTGTAGACCAGTCTGGCCTCTAACTCACAGAGCTCCACCTGCCTCTGCCTCCCAAGTGCTGGGATTAAAGGCATGTGCCACCATCGTCCTGTAACTATACCTATTTATGGGGATATGTGTATGTGTGTGCGTACTAGTGTTCCATGGCCCAAGTGTGGAGGGCAGATAACTTGTGGAAATTGCTTCCCTTCATTTTGTGGGTCACAGGGATTGAACTTAGGTTGACAGACTTGGCATTAAGTGCCCTTGCCCACTGAACTATCTTGCTGGCCCTTATGTATTGTGGTGTGTGTGTGTGTGTGTGTGTGTGTGTGTGTGTGGTGTGTTTGTATTTGTATTTAGAAAGCATTTCAGAGGGTGGAGAAGCGCTTCTGCAAGTAGATGCACTTGTCAGCAAGCTGACAATCTGAGTTTGGTTCCTGGGACCCGCATAATGGAAGGAAAGAACTGATTCCCACAGTTTGTCCTTTCTCTATGGGCACCATGGCACACGAACCCTGCCACCACCACCCCCGACAAAATTATTAACAATAAAAGGATAGGGTTTCACATAGTAGCCCAGGCTGGCATAGAACTGACTGTAGCCAAGGTTGGTCCCAAACTCATGGCAATCCTCCTGCTTCAGCCTCCCAACTGCTTGGATTACATGTATGAATAACCATACCTAGTTTGATTTTTTTTAAAATTAAAATATTTTACTACGTACATTTTGCCTACTATATGCACACCAGATGTGTGCCTAATGCCTGCGGAAGCCAGACAATGGTGTCAGACCCCCTGGAGCTGGGTTTTGGCTGTGAGCCGCCGTGTGGGAACAGAGTCCAGGCCCTCTGCAAGAGCAGCCAGCGCTCCTGACAAGTGGTCACTAACCGTCGCACCCCAACTCGATTCTGTGTTCTTCTGTAGTTCTGGGAATAAACCTGAGCTTTGTGCAGTCAGGCAAGTGCTCTCCTCCTCAGCTACACTCCCAGCTCTGCTTTTCAGTTTATCCTAACACAGGGTCTCAGTCAGTAGATCCCTGTCTGGGCCTCTGGGATGGCTGGGATGTGGACATCCACCTCGCCAGGCCCAGCTTTCTAGTTTAACTTGGATGACTTTGTATGAGAGTGTGTGTAGAGGTGAGGTATGAGTGTGTATCAAGGACAGAGGTCAATGTTCAGTGTCCTCAATGACTCAGTTCCTTAAAAAAAGAAAGTCAACTTGCCAGGCAGTGGTGGTGCACGCCTGTAATCCCAGCACTCGGGAGGCAGAGACAGGTGAGCTCTGAGTTAGAGGCCAGCCTGGCCTACAGATCAGTGCCAGGACAGCCAGGGCCACACAGAGAAACCCTATGTTGAAATAAACAAAAAAATTATTTTAAAAACATTTTATGGGTGTTTGCTTGCACGTATGTCTGTGTGCTACATGCATAGCTGGGGTCCAAGAGAGGGTGTCGGGTCCCCTAACGTGGAGAGATTTGCCATGTGGGTGCTGGGAATTGAAACCAGGCCTTCTAGAAGAGTAGCGAGTGCTCTAAACTACTGAGCCACCTCTCCAGCTCCCTAATGCTGTATTTGTCGAGAACTCTCACTGAGCCAGGAGCTCGCCAGTTCAGCTAGGCTGGGCCGGCCAGCGAGCCCCCTCCCAGTGCTGAGCGCACAGCAAGCACGTGTCCTGCTTCACGTGAGCGCTGGGGGGCTGAGCGCAGGTCTTCATGCTTGCGCCACATCACTCATTCTGCCGACCCCCCAGCCTTGGATTTGGAAAATTTTATCCAAGAAAGAGGCTTGGGAAGGTCGAGTAACCTGCTGCAGGCCACACAGCAGGCCCTCTGCCTCCAGCACCCCATCTTTGGGCAGTGACGGATGGCGGCTACCCTCATCCCTCTATCCCTAGGCTCCACAGTGCTGATTGTCCCCGTCTCTGCTTGCAGGTGCTCTCCAGGCCTGGTTGCACAGCTGCCCGGGTCCTTAATCATCTCTGTTTCGGCCACTGTTCCTCCTTCTACATTCCCAGCTCGGATCCCACCCCAGTAGTCCTCTGCAACAGCTGTGTGCCGGCTGGAAAGCGCTGGACATCAGTAGAGCTGTGGTGTGGAGCTGGCAAGTCAGCCTCCCCTAGGCGGGTGAGGATTTCCACCGTGCTGGTCCAGAAGTGTCAGTGTCGACCGAAGCTGTGAGCTGAGCATCGTGGAGGAATGTGTAGCACATGAACCTCGGAAAGAAGCAGGAGAAAGACGTGGCCTGAATGATGGACATCAGGCCAAGAGAGCAGGGTTGGAAGGACAGATGGACAGATACGGAGTTTCTCACTCCCAAACACTAGACATGGTCACCCAGTCACGGGCTGAGACCACCAATAGTCATAGCATGTGGGACAAGGGTGTAAGTCAACCGGAGAGGGCTTGCCCATTGTGGGTTACATCCTTATAAAATATGTGGAGGAAAAAAGGTGAAAATTAGCTATAGTGTGTGAGTCCCAGGGCCCTGTGTGGGAGGGGACATTTATTTCACAGACACTAACTCACATTGTCCTCAAGAATCAAGCCTCAGTAATCCTGTAAGGTGGACTTTCACCACAGGTCATTTTGCAGATGAGGAAACAGAAGCCGTTGAGATACTGTCACTTTTTTTTGGGGGGGCGGGGGGGAGGAAAGACACCGGCCTTGTGCACAGGCAGCACAGCTCGCTGCTGAGCCCCCAGCCTGAGGTTCCGCTCTTCGCCGCTAGGTGGCACCACGTCTCTCTTCCTGCGCCAGACCCTCCCAACGGCTAGGATGACAGCACCACGCAAACCTGACACTCAGCAAAGATGACCCCTTTCTAGGGACACCAGAATAACAGCAGCAGCACAATAACAACAAACTATGGCAGGCAGGCGGGAAGCAGCTGCTGGGAAACCTGGCCCCAACCAGGGGCGACCCTGCGTGGGCTGCCTCTCACTGACACTAGCTGGGTTTCCCTGTTGCCCCGCCAGAGGCCCCGCAGCAGCCCCACGCCCAGCCTGACCTTCCACGGGAATCATAAGGGTTGGCCAAGTCCAGCTGTGCGTGCGTCTCTCTGACTAGGGTTTCCTGGGCAGGGGGCTCCCTCTTGAGCCGGGGGGGCAGGGGTGCGGCTGCCAGGCGGCCTAGCTCTGGGCGGCTGGAACCAGGGCTCTGGCAGATGGGCCCGTCTGGCAGAGACTCAGAGACATGTGGCAGCGTCGCCTCCAAATGTCCCCCCCCCCCGTGCAGGGGGGGGGGGGCTGGTCAAGCCCCCCCCCCCCCAGCCCCGAGCCCTTTTCCTGCCTCAGGAAGGAAGGCTCCAGGTGAGGGGAACACGAGGGCCCCCCACAAGGAAACAGATGGGACAGCACAGCGTGGGAGCTGCGACCCCTGACCTCACAGGCCTGAACAGAGGGGGTGGGAACCTGCCTGACTGCCAGCTCCCAAGAGCGTTCTAGAGGGAGGGGTCATGGAGCCCTGGGGGTGGGGGCGCCCTCCTGCCTATCCCTAGAGCTTGGTGGCAAACCTCAGGCAGTGTCTGAGTTGGCAGCTCAGCCCAGGCACCCCTTTTCTGGCGGGCACAAGATGCTTGCAGCCCTCTACCTCAGCTGTGCCCACCTCCTGCCAGCCTGGAGAGCCAGCTGGGAACCTTGGTGCCAGGGGGAGGCAGAGTCACTGCGCCCTCCCAGGCAGTGCCAGTCCGCTCCCGACGCTGCCCCCCAGTCCCAGTAATGGGTGGGTAATGAGTGCTGGGGGAGCACGGTGGGGGAGGGGCGGGGAGGCAGGTGCCACAGGCTCTGGCACCGGGGGCCGCTAATCAGGTTTGCCAACGCCATCTGTCATCGTGTGAGCATCTGGGGCTCAAGGTGACCCTGTCGCCCTCAGTTACAATTATGAGTTTGGCATCTGTATTAAAGCCTGCCAGCCGGCCAGGCAGGGGAGGGCTGGGGTGGGTAAGGGGGTGCGCGGTGAGCTCCATCCCTGGGGTCTGGTTCCCAGGAGCTGTGTAGCTGCCAAGGCATGAAGCTTCTCTGCAAGGGTGTGTGTGCCCGCCCGCTCGAGTGTGTATGTGTGTGCGTGCGTGCGTGCGTGCGTGTACGCCCCCTCTCACAATATAAGTATACACACACTCATCCCAGCCTCCTCTGCTGTTCTGTGTGTCTGGACACAGGACTGGGAACCTCAGGGTTTGGGTCTGAGGCTTTGGTGGGGTGGGGGAGAGGAGCTCTGTGTGAGCTCCCAGGTAAGCATGTCTGTGGGGATGCTAAGAGGCATGAGGGGTCTTCAGCCGCCTTTGGCTGATGGTGTGCGTTAGGGTGGGAGCACTCAGGGTGTGAATGTGGGTGTGCATCAGAAGGCGTTAGTGCTGTAGCTCTTACAGTGTGTGTGTGTGTGTGTGTGTGTGTGTGTGTGTGTGTGTGTGAGCAGCAGCTGCAGAGGCCACGGACAGTCACCCCAGATTCTCTCCTGCCCCTTCAGTCTGTGACTGCTCTCACCAGCCCAGCTCCAATCCAGCGAGTTCTGACACACACCCAGAGCTATCGGATATTGAGGGCTTGGTTTTGGTTTCTCTGTTCTTGGAGCTGTGTTCTCAGTTCAAAATTCCAGTTCTGAACAACGGGATCTAGACTTTTGGATTCTGCATTCTGGGTCCTGCGTTCTTGGACCTGGTTTTCTGCATCGCAGGAGTTTCGGTGTGTCGAGTCTTTTACTCTGATGCTGGAGATGGAACCTGCACATACCGGATAAAAAGCTCTCTCGCCTGGCCCCTTCCCCAGAACCTCGCTGGAGGATTCTAAGTTGCTGCCCTACTGTTCAGCCTGGCCCTGACCCTCAGAACCTAGACTGCGATTATGAACTCTAGGACACGGATTACACAGGCCGAGTCCTGAGTCTGGGTTCTTTCTTCTGGGCTGTTATCTCTGTGTGCCATCCTGGACCTGTCTCTCCTCAGGTCTATAGAGACCTGGGGTCTCTGTAATTAAGCCCTCAAATAAAACCCCTCAAGATCGGTGTAGAGACAACATTTAACCACCAGAGGCCGCCCTTGGTCTAGATTTAAGCTGGACTGACCTAGCTCTGGGGCCCCAAGTCCTAGCATGATCCAACTTTTTGAGGGAGACTGGGAGTAAAATCCTTATTCTATTCTTTCATCCCAAATCTCATCTGAGGACCGATGCCTTTCAGCTCTCACAGTTTAAGTCTGGGTAGTGGGCCCACTGCACCTCAAAGTCCTACCAAATGGAGTGTTGGACAGTGTAAGATGTCGAAGGACATCTGAAAAGGCGATGGGCGGCCCCTAGCGACCGCAGTCCCTGTAGCTTGTAAAGGGGCTTGCTTGCTTTTGGTTTTGTTTTGAGACAGTCTCCTCTATGTAGCCCTGGCTATCTTTGAACTCACAATATAGACCAGGTTGGCCTTGAACTCACAGAGGTGCTGCTTCTGCCTCCAGAGCGATGGGGTTAAAGATGTGCACATCACACCTTGGCGACAAGGCGCGTGACTTTATCGGATCTTTGGGTGATACCCTTGAAGTCCAGTGTGCTCTGTAGGACTGTGCCCTTGAGGTGTTATTCTGGTGTCCCTGTCATATGTCATTATGTCTCTGTGCTTGTCAAGTGGTTGCCACGGCTGTGCCCACAAGTGCTATAAGGACACTAGTGTGTGTCCCTGGGGGAAGGCATTCTGGAGTGTCAGGAACAGTATCTGGAAAGGCTGACTCTCTGTGTGATGCCTTATCTGCAGGACAAGGAGGACATTCTGGGAGTATCAAGTTGAGCCAGCGGAGAGGGACAGGCTGGTGGGGACTGGAGACTTGGAGCAGGGATTGGAGTTGCATCTCTAAGCCTCTCGTGGGACATTCCCTGCATCTGGATACACTGGCCCTGCATCTGTCAGCCCATGAATAGGCAGACCCACCAACCTCTCTGAGCCTGGCTTCCCCTAACTTGGGGCCCCATCCCTGCCCCGTCCTATTGCCAGGCACATCAAGGAGCGCAGTGACTCCCAAGTCTTGGTGCTTTGGTGCTTTCCTGCTCAGACCTGTTCTCTCTCATCTCGCTCGCTGGCTCTGCCTCTGCTTGGTCTCCTTCTGTCCTTCCTTCTGGAAGTCCCTCTCACCTCCATCTCTTGTTGGATTCTGAACGTTACTTTCTCCACCCGTGTCTCTCTCCTGTCGGCCTGCTTCTCTGGTGTGCACATGTACAGGCTTGTGTGTACACCTGTGTGCATGACATGCGTGTGAAGGCCAGAGGTTGGCCTCAGCTGTCTTCCCCAGTTGTTTTCCGTAGCCTTCCCTGGCCTGAAATTCACTATGTGACCAGGATGGCCTGGACTTCACAAAGCTCTGCCTGCCTGTGTTGGGATGAAAGGTCCCAACCACCACACCAGCTTTCCACCTTTTTATTTATTTTTGAGACAGGTTCCTTTGCTGAGCCTGGAAGGCTAGCTGGCCAGCCTTCCCCGGAATCCCCCTGCCTGTGCTCCTGTGCCGTGCCTGTTTTATTTTTTCGTGGTGCTAGGGAGCCAGACTCAGGTCCTGGAGCTTGCACTGTCAGCAGAGCCCCTGCTCAGCTGCTCCTCCTAGCCTATTTTATTTGAAGAGACAGAGTCATTGATATGTAGTGACACAGGCCTCAAACTCAGGAGCCCCAACTACCCCTGTAGGATTTACATGTGTTAGTAAATCCTACACCATGTTGGTCTGTCCCCTTTCCCCTTCTTACAAGACTCACACTCCACGTTTTCTTGTCCTGGTCTCCCAACCCTAAATCTTGCTAATTAATCTCTGTCCACCTCTTCCTATTTTCATCTCTGCATTTCTCCCTTTATCAGTGTCTCTCCATATTCGTTCTATTCCATCTCTGCTGTCTCTCCTTCTCTCCATCTAGGGCAGCCCGGGTGGGTCCGGGTGGGTCCGGGACAGCCCAGCCAGGGCGCCGCGGTGAACAATGCGGCATTCAGGAGGCCGGCCGGTGCCATGGTAACGCGCCCGCCCCGCCCTCCCCGCGCGCGGGCCGCGCGTGCCAAGAGGGTGCCATGGTTACATCAGGCGCGTGCCCACTCCGCGCGCCGCCGCGGTCCCGCATGATCTTGCAGGGCTGGGCCAGAAGGGGGCGCCCGGTCTCAGCCTCTGCCCGGAGTCAGGAGGGGACTGCCATCTTCAAAAAGTCCCTTTAGCCCTCTCAGTGCCATGGTTTGTCCATCTATAAAGTTCATGGTGGGGGAGGGGAGAGACGTGGGAGAGGAAGGAGGAGCTGGGGAGAGGGAGGGCGGAGAGTGTGGGGCTTTGGGGGCTACTTCTATGTTTGTGCTTCTGTTTTCAATGGTGGGACTGTGTGCACACGTGGTAATTTGTGCCCCAATGCTTGGATGCCCGTGTGTTTTACAAGAAATTGTCAGAGAGGACACGAGGGGGAA